TTGTTGTTGTTTTTGTTTCTTGTTTCCTCCCTTTCAGATATTTACACGGGGATATCAGGCCTTTGTGATGATGATGGGTTTGAAGTGCATGGTGAAAAGGGGAAGGGGGAAAAGGGAATTGAAGTGCGATCTACAGAAAAAGAAAACTAATGGTGTATCCGACATCAATGAGGAGACCTAAATAAAGGGCATCACTGCATCCAATGACACAAAATACCTACACATGGTAAAAAAAAAAAAAAAAAATAGATAAATGTCTTCTTGTGGAATTAATTGTTTTTTTTTTCTTAATTTATTGATTCTCTTTCCATTTTTATTTTCTTTTATTTGAATGTAGAAAAGAGAACGAAAACGAAAAAGTGTCGAAAGACAAAAAGTTTACCACCTCAAGCAAAGAAAGAATAAAAAAAAAATTCTTTTCGGATTGTAATCATGAGCCACGAAGAACTTGTTAAGCGTCTCCCAAAGGGACCACAAAAGCCTATTAACGAATCACGTCGATTTGCCATTATGGCCGTAGGTGCATATGGGTGCATCTGCACTTCTCTTAGATACGCCTTCAACCTTACTTCAGGAGATCTGCAGTCCCGTTACAACCTTACTGGTCGTGATGTCTCAAGCATAAGCACAGTGGGTCTTGTGTTTTGTTATTTTGTCTTGCCTTATGCTTTTCTCTTTGATTACCTTGGTCCGAGACCTATCTTCGCTATTGCCATGGTAGCCTTCCCACTCGGAGCGCTGCTTTTGGCATTGGTTTTCGCCGGTCATATCGCAGCTTCCGTACTACGCTTTTGTGTTTTTAATGCCATTTTTAATATAGGTTGTACACTCTTTGATTTGGGATGCATGATGACAGTAATGAGCTATTTCCCATCCCATAAAGGAGCCGTCGTGGCAATCATGAAATCGTACATCGGATTGGGTTCAGCTATTGTGGGATGCATTCAGGTTGCTTTCTTCCTTGGAAAAACACAAGAGTATTTCTATTTCTTGATGGCGCTAGTGTTCGTCGTCGGAGGAGCATGCCTAATATGTCTGCCACTCCCGTCTTATCATCTGACAGGCTATGAAGAGAAACATCTGAGTGTTGAGGAAAAGGAACGACGCCTGGCACGAAAAGCAGTTTACCTGCGTCAGAAGCCTCCTACTATTCGATTCGTGATAGGTCTTGTCTTTGTCCTCACATTTGTTGTTTTCTTGCCGCTGCAGAGTGCACTTGTGGCTTATCAGGGACTGGGGCAAAGCTACAGAATTGCTTTTGCCATTGTTGTCATTGTGCTGATGGCGCTTTACCCGATGATGGCGCTGCCTGTACGATTTCTTGATCGCCGTAAGACTGAGGTTGACAGGATCACTGAACCGGGAAATGAACCTGAGGGAGAGAGCAGTGATCAGGTTGATGTGGTGAAGCCGGATGATGTGGTGGAGACTGATGTTGACTACATTGCCCCACAGTATCAAACGACGTTTTTTGAGAATCTTCGCACACCAAAAATGTGGGCTCTTGTCTGGTCATACTTTTGCATCGTTGGTTCTGAGTTTGTTATCATTTTCAACGCCCGGTTTATTTATGCTGCACTTGCTGGTGAGAAGGTAAGTGATGAACTTGGTACACTTTTGACGGTGCTTAATGGCGTTGGAAGTGCTGTGGGTCGTCTGTTGATGAGTGTATTTGAGATTTGGTCGCAGAAGCGAAAGGCTGAGGATCGTATCCCCATCACAATAGCACTTTTCTTTCCAGTAATTTGTGTGATGCTTTCAATGATCTTCTTCCTTGTATTACCAAAGGCAGCATTGCCATTGCCTTACATCATGGCTGCTCTTGGTAACGGCTTCTGTGCTGCTGTTATTGTGATCGTTGCACGCACCATATTTGCCAAGGACCCCGCAAAACATTACAACTTCTGTTTTCTTGGTACAATGTTTTCCGTTATTTTCTTGAATCGTCTGACGTACGGTGAGTGGTACACACGTGAAGCAGAGAAGCAGGGTCAGACACTGTGTCTTGGCCGGAATTGTGTATTGATGCCCCTGCTCTTTTTCCTTGGACTCAACTGTAGTGCACTTCTTTCTATCATTTACATTAATTGGGAATACCGCCGCTTCAGTCGTCTCGTACTAAAGGAGCGACGCCGCATAAGGGAAGATGCATTACTAGGAGAGAGAGCCACAGAGACGCAATCCAGCAACTTACCGGATGCTCCAGCGGAAAATCCCATAAATGGTGGAAACGCATTGGCATCACAAGAAAAAGATGATGATGATGACAACAACCGCAGCAATGTGAACGACGACAACAACCAAAGCAATGTGAATGACGACAACAACCGCAGCAATGTGAATGATGACAACAACCGAAGCAATGATAATGCAGTACGTGTGTAAACACCAAAAAAAAAAAAAGATGTTTAGCGTTTCTCTTGCGTTTTAAATGATCTTTTTTATTGTGTTTATTTTCAATCCCCTTACTCTTTTTCCTATTTTTCTTGGTAATCTTTACCATATATATTTTGCCAGATAATGTAAAAAAAAAAAAAA